ATAAACAGCCGCAAACAAGCAAATGCCGATCGATCAGCACCTGTTGATTGATGTAAGGTGTGGTTAAACACTACCTACCACCCAGGTTGCTCTGTTATTTACGAAGTAAATAGCCAAGCATTCTCCCTAGCATCGTTGTTGGCGAAAAGAAAGCCAACAGAGCGACTTGTGCTCGCTACTTAAGTTGTGCATCGCATGACCCGATCAGCAGATTCTTCAAGATCAACCCACGTTGCTAAAGCTTTATACTATTATGAATGAGACGCTGCTATGCAGCTGGCGTGGAGAGCTCTCACCAAAACTTGGCAGGTGAAGGATGCTGTAACTAGCCTAACGCAAGGGAATCCGAACGAGCGGCCTCACTCTCGAGGAAGAGAGAAATGCTTTCGGGTCGCACTCCACAGTGGTATGGATGGCAATCATGTCCTCTATAACCCGTCGGCAGTGTGCCTGAAAGATCCATAACGAAGGCCAAGAAGATAGAAAGAAATCACATATTGAAAGGAGCAAAAACGAAAAGAAAGAATTGTCCCCGGTCAGACTCGAACTGACGACCAACAGCTTAAGGATATTACGCTGGGGCTAAGGATAACATAAGACTGCTGCTCTACCGACTGAGCTACGGGGACGTATTGTTGATGGAAGAGATGATTAGATCAGTACTTGAAGGTTGGACTGTGAGTTAAGTTCTCAGGGTAGACTGCTCAGAGGGGTAAATACACCTTGAGGATTTGAGAGTCACTTCCTGGATGTAGGTGACCATCTCCCGTTCATCCAGCTAACTCTGGTATGTTAAGCCATTTGAGCTAAGTAATAGTCCCCGTTTTCAGAGCGAAGTAGGAATGAGTGACTATTTCGCATGCTTCCGAGTTCTTCCCAAGTCAAGGCTTGTCAGCAAACCCATGTATCGCCGAGGAGCATTTGGCCTCACCTAACTTCATCCTAATCACACCCCGTAGAGGTTGCCAGAAGTGAGTCACACAGCAACTTGATGCCGCAATTATCATTCTGATCATGATCATTTGTCCTCAACAAGCAGCCAGCACGGTAGCTCAGTGGTAGCAGCGGTGGGCTCATAACCCAAAGGTCCCTGGATCGAAACCAGGCCGTGCTAAGTCGAGTCTTTTTGACCGTTTTCAAGAAGATGCCGCAAAAGAAACATCTAGAAGCTCCCGAATACAGCCTAAGCCAGTAGAGAGTCATGAAGAACAGTCATCTTTCCAGCGTGGTTCTGGACCGCTGCACCCTCGCTGGGAATCTCATATCATGTCTTCTTCTGTCTGCCTGCTAATCTAGAAAACTCATGGAGGAAATTCATGGGTCGTTCGTCGTGCTGTGTAATCTCTGCAGACATTTTATATTAGACTGGGAGGACGGGTTCATAGATTCAGCAAACAAGCCAGGAAACAGGAGATCAAATTAAATATCATGTTTGGTGTGACAGTGCCCGTCGGGAGACCGTCTGAAGGGAGGGTCCCGATGGCACTAACTTGCTCGGACTTTGATACTCCACCGAAGCCATCAACCAAATCTGTTCGTTTTGCTCGGGGAAAAGGCTCACCAAGCAAGGGCCGCTGATATGCGACGGATGCCAGGTCGATCAATACATTTGCGGCCGTTGGTCGGGACCAATCACTGTCTTGTTCGACCATTTGCTCGTATTCGATGGTCACTGAAACGCTATGACGGAAAAACAAGAGTTCAATACAGAATTATGAAAGTTGGCCTCCAGATGGAGCTTTCCTCGGACTTTGACTCTCAAGTCCAGAGAGATGAAGGAAGACGAATGCTGCTGCCGTCGTTGACCGAGGTGAAGGTGCCATCGCCCCACTCAAATTGGTATTGGGCCAATAGGAAGCTCCCTGATGTAATCCGACCACCACTCCCACCTCGAGCTTCGACTCTGACGCAAGACTCCTGACATGCTCTTCATCCAGTTCATACGAACGAGTTTGCAAGATGCAAGCGTTGGCGAGAGCGCTTAACAGAAAGAATGGGATTCCCAGGAGAGCCATATGGCCTCCCAGACGATCCCTCCATCTTGCACCACCCTTCCTCCTCGATGACTACATACCACGGTACATGATGTTGTCCTCCATCGATGAATCCAAAAAGCGCTCCAAGGCGTACCATCACCTCTCAAAATGCAATCTCTGTCCGCGCCTATGCGGCGTCAACCGTTTCGAGACGACGGGAATGTGTCTGATTGGCGATAACACAAAGGTCAATGTGATTGCGCCTCATTTCGGTGAAGGTCTGGAAGCAGCTGTCCCAAAGCAAGGGTGCCGCACACTGACCAGCCGTCACAGAACCATGCGTCCAGGGGCACAATGGAAGTGGCGCGGTATTCTTTTCCGGCTGCAATCTCCGCTGCGTCTTTTGCCAGAACCATGACATTGCCCACCAGCGCAACGGCCAGGACCTGACACCCGAGGAGCTGGGAGAGTGGTACACCAAGCTGCAGCAGGTCGGCCGCGTCCACAATATCAACCTCATCACTCCGGAGCACGTGGTTCCCCAGGTTGTCTTGAGCATCCTGCATGCCAGGCACATAGGCTTGAAGGTGCCCATCATCTACAATACCTCGAGTTTCGATTCGCCCGAGTCGTTGGAGCTGCTCGATGGCTTGGTCGACATCTATCTCCCTGACTTCAAGGTCTGGGAAACCAGCACATCCAAGCGTCTCCTGAAAGCAGACGACTATGCGGCCACGGCGCGCGAGAGCATCAAGGCGATGCACGCGCAGGTTGGCGACCTTTGCTTTACTGGCGACGGCATCGCCAAGAAGGGCCTCCTTGTACGCCATCTGGTCATGCCAGGGAAGGAAGCAGAGGGACACAAAATCATGGAATTCCTGGCCAAGGAGGTTTCCAGGGATTGCTTTGTCAACATCATGGAGCAGTATCACCCAGATGCCCACGTTGGCAAGGCCAGGAGACGTCCCAAAGCCAGGGCCGCCAGCACCGAGTCTAGTGGAGAGGAGGTTCGATACAGTGAAATCAATCGAGCCGTGTCGGATAACGAGATCTCCTCGGTCCGGAGGGCGGCGGAAGCAGCTGGTCTGTGGCGATTCTGTGACCCGCCTCGCCATGATGGTTTCAACATCTGAACCCCCTTGCATCACAAGACAAACGCTAGCATGCTTCTTGGCACCTCATGAAGGAAACATGGTGGCATTTGGCTCCTCGCAGTTGGCGGCGAACTGAAATTGGTGCCATCATGCCAGGCTCGTTGCTTCTGTGCCGCAGCCATGTCGACGTCGCGTGGCAACCCTCAGGTGTGTTGGTTCCCTTGAAGTCGTGATCAGTTACACCTACGTTCTCGTTGATACTATCATAAGGACTATTACGAGAACCACGGGCCTCTTTAACAACAAGCGGACGCTGACTTTTGCAGATGGTATGGGCCAAGAGTGTCAAGCAAAGTCCGAGGTTTCCCACCCTGTACCATGTTGTTGGAACCAACAAACGTTGCCGAGTGCCGAGCACCACGCGTCTGATCATGTTCAATGCGGGGTTTCCATTGTTCAATGCTCTCGTCAAATTAAGCCGCAGGCTGCCAAGCCAGTTTGTTCTTTCGTCAAAAGCGCCTCCTCATCCTTTGCGTACACAGCTAAATCTGGACCCCTTTGGCTCTTGGCTTTATTGAGAAACATCGGACGAGAGCCTTGCCGTCCCTTATCAGAGGAATGATCCTAAACCGTCAACTAAGTTTACGGATAGGCAAATCCACCTTTGTTTCCATCTGGTCAATTTTGGATACAGTGGGAATTTCTGCAGCGGAACGCCCATCTATATCTGAAGTGATTATGCCGAACAGACTTCCAGAACCTCCGATCGTTTCTCTATCACCAGTTTACAGCCTCAGTCATGGAACAACACGTCCAAGCAGCGGTCTTCACTCCTAGATCTGTGCAAATTCAAGATGCGTCGACCACATCTTCCGAAGATTCACCAAGCCACAATAGCTGTCTATCCCGCCGCAAGGGTTCTGTCACGGCATATCCAAGTTTCCAAACAGCTTCTTGTAGGAGCAACGCCAGGCGAGGTCGAACGATACCAGTCAACAACATATCACTCAACACGAGAGTCAAGCCGGCCTGGTCGGTCTTCACGTCTCCTGGCTCTTTCGAGCAACTGTACAACGAGAGGGCATACCTCAACGCTTCTCTCAGGGGCCAGGGCGAGCGCTCACTCGAGCTCATGAGAAGGCTCACCATCTTGCATGAGCAGATGGACAGCTTCTTGCCACCCGACGAGCGGCGAAGGTCTCGAAAGAAAGCCGCCTTGATCAAGAGCAAGATCACGGAAGCCGCCGCACAGGAGAAGGCGATTTCCATCCGACTCTGTGATATCAATGCGGAGCTCAACATCCGAGAACGATGGATGCAGGTTCAACACGAAATCTACGAGCAAAGATATTGCTACTGGGCCATGGAATCACCCGTGACCGGTTACATGGCATCGCCAACGGACCTAGCCTCGGTCGTCTCCACGCCGCTCGATGCCGCTTCGCCCGTCTTCTTCCCGGTGGGATACTATCCCATTTACAGCCCGATGCAAATGATGCCGTGTCACGAGCCGGAGGCGTCGCCCCCTGAAATGTGGGCCAACAACGAGATGAACGAGACACCGATCGACGCACTGGGAAATCACGGCCTGCAATTCTGCTATGACACCCCCCAAAGCCATGCCCGAACGGCTGAAGAGGCGTCGAGCGAGCTCCCGGGAGCGGATATCGCGGACAAGAGGCGACGGAGGATGAGTCTGCCGCCACTGAGGTGTCTCTGGCCCGGACAACAAGAGAATTGACGACTGGCTCGAGGTCATGATCCTCACAGCGCGGAGAAAATGTTGGTTGAAATTGTTGATATGGTGCTTTTTTCAAAACATGCCAATGGACGCATGTATAATAGCTAGGCAAACGACGCAGGGAATATCTTGCTCAAATCAGTCCTTCCTCCTATGCGCCCCCTTTTAGTGTATCGCAGCTACCGCCCCTCAGGCGAACTCTCCAAACTGTCCATCGTCGAATCCCAGATCCTGCGCAGATTTCCTCTTCTCCCGCTTCTGGTCCCGCACGCTCTGTGAACTCGGCGGCGGCGGCAGGAAGCTTCCGTTCCCGCTGCTCTTGGGCGCAGCAGGCGGCGGCGGTAACGAGAAAGCCTGCAAGCTCGCGCCGTCAGGCGGTCCCGTCAACGACGCGGCCGAGGGCCCCCTCGACCGCCTTCCGAGCTTGGAGCCGCCAAAGTTGATGGTGATAGTCTCGCCCTCCTTCAGACTGTAGTCCTTGGTCTTCTCCTCCTCGGCGCGCTTGCTGTTTTCGGCAGCCTGCTTGGCATGGCTCGCGTCCAGCAGGCCCAGGCTCTTCTGGGCCTCCTGCAGGGCGACGCCGAAGTCGAAGGCCTCGCTGCGCTCCTCGAAGCCGATGCCGAGGACGGCCTTGCGGCCCTGGCCGTCCTGGACGCGGACGGCGAAGAAGCGGGAGGAGTCGAGGACGGGCTCGACGACGGTGATGGAGGTGTAGGGGGCGGCGGCGAAGAGCTGGCCGTTGGAGGGGTCCTCGAGGACGATGTCGACCTTGATGTGGTTCTCCTTGGTGGTGATGCCGGCGGGGGCGCCCGGGGCGACGGGGATGACGGCGCTGCCCGTGGCGCCGACGGGGACGGGCTGGGCGGCGGCGGCGGTCTCCCAGGCGGTCTCGAGGACGCGCAGGCGGGCGGTGAAGATCTGGCGTTCGGTCCAGCCGGCGGCCGTGTAGCCCTTGTTGGAGGCCAGGGGCGGGATGTTGTAGACGTGGGCGCCGGAGGCGAGGAAGAGGATGCGCTGGATCGCGTCGGTGGGGAGGGGCGCGCCGGTTGCGGGATCGGTGGTCTCCATTGCTTGCTCTCTTCTGGCTGATGTGGTGAGGTGAGGTGAGCTTTCTCGTCTAGATCGTTCGTTCAGGGAGGAGGAGGTGGTTGCTGGGGAGGGCAGGTTCGACGACGGGTGTGTCGGTGGGAAGCAGCAGGAGAGAGCTCGAGCTTCATCACATATTTGAGAAGGGGGGAAAGAGGGAACTGGGTGCGAATTGGATGGTGCTCAGGGGGGGAGATGAAGGCTTACAAGGACGGGAGCTTGGTTAGCTGGGTTTTTGGTGGTGTCAGTGTTTCGGGAGTGGAGGGGACCCCGCTGCCGGTAGTGGGATGCTTGGGTGATGATACAGGCACAGAGGACCAGACAGGGCGATGAGACCGCTATTTGGTGGTTGGGAGGACCCTGGAAGGAGACAAGGAGGCACCTCACCCCCAAGGTGGCCAGCCCAACGGTCTCGGCGATAAAAAGATACCTTGCTGCTTGGTGGGAGGGTGCTGATGATGTCAGGTAGCCACATATCGCAGGGAGCAGGGGGGAGCAGCCCCGCCTTCTTTTCGCAAAATTACCCCGCCAAATCACAGCCATCAATCCCACCACGGACACGGCAAGCTCCATGCGGGTTGAGTCACTCTTCCCAAAATTTCCCAGAGCTTCAACATCGCGACATCACGACGTCGACTGCGCTCCCTGACAACCCCCGCCGCACTTCGACGACGACCGCTGAATTCGTCTTCAACTCTTCCGGCGCCCTCACAGACAACGCGACATCAGTGTATGTTACGAAGCGCCCTGTCCAGGTTCCACAGCGCATCCTTCTTCCGAGCCGTCACCATGGCCACCGGCGATCTCGCACGTACGTCCGTTGTCGTCGACTCCTGCTGCCCACCTCCAAGCTAACTTGTGTCTCCTCCAGCATCTGGCTCCAAGCCAACCGAAGACCTCCCCGTCCGTCCCAAGCAAGACACCTTCGACATCGTCAAGACATATCACGACCTCCTCCAAGACCCAGACCTGACAAAACCTGTCGCCGCAATCGAGGCCCTCATCACCCTCCTCAACGCCTCCGGCACGACCACAGTCTACGAAACCCTCGACCTCGTCAAGCGCCACTCCGACATCCTCCGCGCATCCGTCAACAACCCCGTCCCCCTCCAGGCCGGCACAGACCTCTTCCTACAGTACCTCGTCTCCTCGCTTAAGCAGCAGGAGTCCGGCGCCGCAGACACCTCCCCCCACCAGTCCTTCGAGGCCGTCCGCACCCATCTCCTCCGCAACGGCCGCCTGTTCGCCTCCCGCGCCATCGCCGCCCGCGACAGAATCGCCGACGCCGGCTGGCGCTTCGTGCGCGACGGCAAGGTTGTCCTCACCCACGGCGCATCTCGCGCTGTGTCCAATGTGCTGTTCAAGGCCGCGGACCAGTTCGGAGGCGGCGCGAACGGCGGTGGTGTGCGGTTCAAGGTTGTGTACGTCCGCGACGAGCACCGCGTCGCTGAGTCGGACCGCGTCGTGAAGGAGCTGCGAGAGAAGGGCATCCCCGTGGCTGAGATTGCCGAGCCGGCTGTGGCGCACGTGCTGGGGCTGCTGAGGCAGGTGCACATGGTCTTCGTGGGTGCCGAGGCCGTCACGCAGAATGGAGGTATCATCTCTAGGATGGGCACTTACCAGATTGCAAAGCTGGCCAAGGAGGCAGGGCTGCCGTTCTACGTCGCTGCCGAGTCTCACAAGTTCGTGCGCAAGTTCCCGCTCGACCAGAGGGATCTGGGATTCCAGCAGCAGGTGCTGGACTTCAGGACTGACGGGTCGAGTGTGCAGCCGGAAGACGCTGTCGATTACACTGTGGGTCTCCTCATGCTTTCGACGATGGACATTTGCTAATGAATCGCAGCCCCCTGACTTTATTTCGAACTTGGTTACAGAGAATGGCGTCAAGCTGCCCAGCTACGTCTTTGAGCAGCTTCTCGACATCTACGGAAGCTTGAACGGTTGAGCAAGCTCAAAAGCTTTCCGTTGATAATTGTGGTCTACAGTCTTCAGTCATGATGATAGAGTATGGGTAAGACAAAAGCATCTGCTCCGTCGCGGATGCAGCGGGTTCCGCCTCGGCCGCATTGTGGAGACAAAACCCGGTCCACAAGTTAGCATGGAGCGGCCGACTGTCCGGGAGGAGCTTGACCGGTCGGACTTCGCATCCCGCGCGGTCTTACAAACGGATGAATGTTATACGAAGTGGATGGTCTGTGAAAAGGTACTTGAGGAGTACATGTCGCTGTAGAAAGATACCTCGCTTACTGCTCAACTCCCACCCCTCCCAAGTGGGCAGAATATGCAGCAGTTCATCGGCAGGACCTGCCCACCCACACACCCGTTCTGAAAGAATGAAAACATCACATTTTGTTCAAACGGCATTCTCGCCGAACTTGACCCACGTTTACCACGTACGTAGGAGCTGTCCTGCATGTAATATCCAACCCTCAACCCGCGAAAGTTTTCCCGCGCTGCTGCCCCTGACACGCATCCTCCATCTCCTTGCGTCCCAGGATCCGGCCGAACACGAGAAAACGGAACATGCTTACACGTGTATATGTGTCTGATGCGGAACTCGGCGGGAAACAGCCAGTTTCTTTGCTTTTTCCCTCGGGCATGGTCGCGCGAACACCACCCCCTCTCCCCTCATTTTGAGGCCGTAAAACCCCACATTTTGGGCGCGGGAACCCCCACGAGCGAAAGGGGGTTTGACGTCACGGTCACCGGGTCACATGTATGTAAGACGCCCGCCGCGCCCCCCGTGTGCTACCTTGCTGCTTGCTGCGCGGCGTGAGAGTGAGGGGTTTCGTAGGCATCGTGAGGTCTGTCTGTTTGACCCTGGACGCCGGGCAAGGGAGGAGTTGGCCGAGGGGGAAGGCGTTAGGGGATTTGTCGGGATGCCGTTTTGGGAAGGACGTGTTGGACGTGTTAGAGGGGCCTTCGTCACGATGCTTGGCCGGTGAGATGGAATCGTAGTGTTCTTTTTATGGAAGACACGAAGTACAGGGTGATGAAGCTCCCCAGAATCGAGCGCGGATGTCATGCTGTGGGCAACTTCGATGTTTGGCAGAGATTCCCAGTTCTGTCATTAGCAAGTGTTGAATGAGTTTTACACCCTGAAGCAAGATGGCTTAGGGACGCGGCGGTATTCACTGTCTACCCTGGTCGCTGTCCGTGGTGTATTTCTAAGTAGTATTGTAAGCTGTCGAAAGATTGAAGCATATCGTCAAACAACGACTCAGAGCGTGTGTGCCTACTGTCATCACTACACATGGCTTGTCTGGTTTGTGTCGTGTAGGCAGCGACTACACACATGCCGTTTCCCTTGGAATTCTCAATATACGGCACTGGTCGGTTATAATTTATAAAGCGGTCAACGAAGCGGGTTGGAGACGTGAGAGACAGTTGGAATTGCTTAAAAAGGCCCAGAATCCGCAAATCAAGAAAGTCCAACAACAAGATGGAGTTGTAGGACATCCCTCTTTCTAATTGACTTCGGGCTAAACTGTTGTGCGCTAATTGACAAACTGTTGTCTCCAGGCATCGTCAAGGCAATCTGGTCTCGCAAAACGTACCTGGGTGGGACAATCCTTATTCTTCGTTGACCTTGTTGCCTTGCTCTCATTCCAAATTCCCAAAACCGATCCTTCGACCGAACCACGCTACCAAAATGTGTTGTATTCGATCCGATCACCAACGAGACCAGAAAGTAGACATATTCGCAATCACGACATATGCCACTTAATCACAGACAGTGACAGGCCTAATTGTTGCAATCAGGCTTTGGGGGTGGGTTGGATGTTCAATTTAAAGTAGGCCCCCGTTTCCGTGATCAGGATCGCCTACCGCATCCGGGTATTTGAAAACCTATAAGATCAACATCTGAAACAGAAGGAATCTCTAGCAAATACGGGTCAATTCTGGATTTTGATCTTCCACCTCCTTTGACCTCATGACCAGCAAGATGTAGCTGATGAATCAGGACAAGAGCGCAGTTCCCGCTGGAGCCCGGCTGTAGAATCGAGAAAATCCCTTAGTCGTCGCCCGTATTTATCACTTATTCATCCCGAATGATGTTTTGGCACTGTTTGGGGAAATTTGGCGATTAGCTGGTTGTCTGGAGATTATTATAGCGCAACGTGACATGAAGAATGTCGTTATTCTGATATTGCATGAACTTGGACAAAATAGATTGCAGCGTAGGGCGAGACTCCTTCTAAGTGATGAAAAATACTTCAATTTATACGAATTTTTCATGGTTGAATGTTAACGAATGTTGAATTGAGCTGGCCTCGTGGCACCTGAGGCAATGACTGCACTGAGGCAATGATAGAAAGTATGTCTGACGTATGCTCCCCATTTTTACATACGCCCCTGGTTCCATGACATGAATGGTAGCGAAAGCCTTTTGGTAAAATACAGAGGTCGAAGAGATTCCAGACTGTGACCCCGCTAACGCCATGCTGTAGCGATCATAAGTGACATGAATTCCAGCTTTTTGCAGAGAGTGAAGGGAATGAGGGCGAAGTTGAGTCGGCCTCACTGTAGCCCACTGTTGAATCGACTGGCTACACCACGCAAATGATTAAAGATTGTACTATTACAACATCCAGGAATGAATGAAAGACTGTGGGGTCCAGGCGGTTATTTGATGTCCCTCACAATACGAGCACCGGCCCAGGCGTAGGGGTAGTTGCGCTGGTACCAGTTGACACTAGATGATGTCAGTTGCCGCTCATCAAGCCGGGATATGATATCGATATTGGCGCGAAGGAAGACTTACAAGGATCGGCGTCCAGCGATGATCGGGTGAGTAGCCCAAGAGCCACCGAGGACGATGTTGTGCTTGCCATCGAAAAAGTCGGCTGTGCGTCGCTTTAGCATCAATACAGTATTCTCTTAATGATTAAAACTTACCAGTGTACTGGGGATACAAAGGCATGGGCTCAAAGCCTTCATGCCGAGCAAGGGGCGTGCTGGTCCACTCCCAGACGCCACCGAGCTCGCCTTGTCCCGCGAGACGACCGCCATTGGCTGTCACGGGGACGGGATGCCAATGTTGGAAGCCAACATTGGCGCCGTCGAGGTCCATGAAGAGCTCAGAGCGAGCCTTCTCGGCCTCGAGAGAGGCAAGCTTTGGGGGTGTCTCCTCAACACCGTCGTTGGAGAGATGTCTGTCGCTTGTCAGCACCCCTATTCACTCGAGTCATATGCTAGGCTCACCCGTTGACTGCCGGAACCGTTCGTCCGAGAGTGCGCTCAGCTTCCATCTTCTTCAGGTTGTGGACGTATGTGTAAATGCTTCGGGCCTCCTCGAAGCTTGGCATACGACCGCCCATCCATGCGGCGCAACCGGACAGCTCATCGTAAGATGCGAACATGGGCCAGTCCAGAGCATACTTGAGCGGCACAAGACCGTAGACTGTGCGAACAGCCATGCCCTCGAGGAACGAATCGGGGAGAGAAACGTTTCTGTGACCGTTGACGCCATTCTTCGCACCGTTTGTGTTCCCATTGACGTGACCATTTGTGTGTCCGTTTGCATGCCCGTTGGCGTGTCCATTGGTGTGACCGTTAGAGTGTCCATTGTAGTGGCCGTTGCCGAAGCCGTTCGTGTGACCGTTCGTCTCGGTGTCGGACTCCGACGCGTGAACATCAGCCCAAGAAGCGGGAACCTGCTCGATGTGGTTCTCGAACATGTATTGTGCGTACTTCTTGTGTCAGCGCAGAATTGCTGCATCAAATCGGAAAACTCACCTCCTCATTAGTGATCGGCCGACCCTTGGCCTGGAATGAGTGAACATCGACTCTTCTGGACGGTTTCTCATTGTCCCTAGTCTCTGTGAGCTATGCTTTTGAAGCCGCAGTTTCCATGTACTTACCACCCAAAGTAGCCGTTGATGCCGGCATCAAGTGCAGGCTCGTCCATGCCGACCTTGATGGACTGAGCGGGAACATCGTGCCATTCGTTAGCAACACGTGCCTGGTGAGCCTTCTGGGCTAGGCGCTTGAAGTCCGGACGCTCGACATCAGGCGGCGGAAGAGTCTTGTCGCTTTGGATCATCATGTAGAGGAGAGTCTCCATGTGCATGATCTCGTGCTCAAAGCCGACCCAAATGCCTTGTGCAATTGGCCTGGGAATATTATTGATACCGTCTTTGTAAAGACTTCGGAGTCTCGAGCGCACGCTCCGCTGGTACTCGATGATCTCTTCGACAGCAGGCCATTCGTCCGGAATCTCGGAGTGAGAGTGGCACTTCTCGGGGTTGTCGACATCGGGGTCAATGCCTCGCTCAAACATTGGCTGGAAATGCGCCGGCTCAGTGGCTGGTTTCTTGGTTGTCTTTGTCAATTGGATATCCAAGAAGCCGGGGATATGACCGAGGTAGAAGATGCAGGCGTTCCGAAGTTTGATTGGCTTATCCAGCAACTCTTCTCTGGGAAGCATGCTCTGCGTAACGGCGTCCCAGGCCGTCCATAACGCCTCCCAGTCGTTCAACGAAGGACAGGGAGACGATGCATAGAGATCGGGGAGCAGGCTGAAAGGCATCTTTCTCTTCGAGATCATGTGTAATCCTACTTGACTGTCAGCTCGCCAAACAATATTCTGGATAGCACCGCATTCTTGTAAGTGTTGCAATTACAACAGTAGGATTCCCGAGTCCGTCATATGACGATGTCGGAGCCAGTCGCGTCCAATATCTTACGATCCGGGGAATGCACATCCACCTTTTGGGCAATTGGCTCCACGTTGCCGGCAGACGTGGGGGAGGCTTATGGGGTGCATGATGCTGCGTAAGGGGTGGCAACCAAAAATCCCGAGTTCCTGATGTTGTACACAGAAATGATCCACTCACCATGCTCATCGCCCTTGGTCCAACGGCCGGTCTCTACCAGACCTGCCATGCTCCAAAGGTTTTCGGCTCCACGTTGGGAGTACTTCAGGCTCTGCTCGACCTGGATTCGCTCATGCTGCCTGATTAAGGTACCCAAAACGTATGTGTCTCGGACTGGAGAGAAGAAAGCCTGATGGCGGCCACCCTCGTCGTCGTAGACATACTCTCCAATGACCTCCCAATCTTTGAGCTTGAAAGCTTCTTGGCCGAGAATCTCGTTCGCATTGGTAAGTCCATTGAGGATGAACCTGAGATTTATTAGATAAAAGCATATAACTGGCTTTAGCTTGTAACCTACTCGTGAGTGATCCCATATTTGTCTTTAGTTGCAAATGTCAGCAATATCCTACCACTTGATCAGGAGCAAATACCATTGTAGGCGTGACTGTAAAACGTTAGCTTTTGGTACTGTATTAGTGAAGGGACACTGAAAACATACTAGACCTTCGCTGGATCGCCGCATCCGTCCAAACCAATAAGCATCTTGTCTGACGGCGCGAGGACATCGCTGAAATGCTTCAGAAACCCAGCTGCGTCGTAGCGCTCGAAGTTGCCTGAAAGCCAATGTCAGTATGAGTCGAAGCCTAACAGCTCCTTTGAGAAGTGCCCACCGATACTAGATCCAAGGCTTACGATGCACTTGGGGCGGGCCAAGTTGAAGGGCTTTTTCAACCACTCTCGACCATCATCGTAGGTACCCAGCAGTCCGTGGCATTGAACGTGTCGAAACTCCGGCAATTGCGCCAAGGTGCGCTCCAACTCTTCGCGTGAGAGGTCCAGGGCGTAATAGTCAATCTTCTTCCCGGCATCCTCGAAAGCCTGCAACAGAATCCCAATTTTGCGAAGATTGCTTGAATTTTGGTCAGAATCATCCCAGAGTCACCATTCAGCAAGGGAACCACAGACCCACTCCCCAACTCAATGACCATGGACTCCGGCGATATGTTCTGCGCAATCTCTCTCGAGGAACGGTTCAGAACTTCAATCTCATTGTTGGTGAGGTAATATTCTTCGAGATATGTGATCTAGAGAAATTGTTAGTGCCGATCACGCAAGACGTGGCTGAGCCGATGAGTGGTCTAAAAGCACGCACATCTTCGAACAACTGCAGGCCCCGTTCGTTGTAGAGGAGCAAGGTTGGGAGCCTCCGGGGTCCGTTTGTGGGGTTCCACATGGAGAGGATGTCGTCTTTCAAGTTTGTTTCAACCGCAACTCGTCGAACATCAATGATGTCAACGCCATGCTTGCCGACTGACTTAACTGCCTTCTGCTTAGCCGCCTTGGGGCCAGCGTACGGGAGGCTGTCCTGAGAGACAGCAATTGAACCCATCGTGACAGGAATTCAGTGTGTAAAAAGCCAAGCGCTGAGAGTTTGAATCCAGACCAGGTACAACAGAGCGGAACAAAGGTAGATGTTATATGAAGGACGTTGAAGGTAGCATGTGCAAAGCAGTACGGGCTTGGGACGAGAAGAACGGACGGGTACCTAGAGCTTATAGCCTCCACGACAAAGGTACCTGGGTCTCCCAGGCCGGCGGAGGCGCCGGCAAGCGGACGGCGATACGCGTTGGTGTTGCCATGCTAGCAATAGGGTAGGTCCGAGACGTGTACCAGGTGTTCTTTGTGGATGCGGACATGGAAGTGGTGACTCGGCGGACCGTAGGCCTCTTGGGCCTGCCATTCTGGTCTACAGTGTAGCGAGTTGATGGAGCAGAGATGCATTTCGGGGATATTGGCGACCAGATGGAGCAGGTGTACGACGAGGGTACGGGGCAGCTGAGATCGGATTGAGTGAAACAAACACCGGGCGAGAGCTGTGTTCGGAAGTACACTCGAGGTAGCCCGGTTCCGTGTGCTTGTACCAAACGATACAATTCTCTTTTGTCATAACGTGCAGATAGAGAGAGGAGTGTGACAGCCTCATCCCGGACAGAGAGTGGGAGAAGTTCGCAGTCGAACAAATCAGCGGACGTCATCTGAGGCGTATCCCACGCCCCACCATGGGGCGGCCACACTAAGACTGCTGGAGCTCGACGCGGATCACCGGATTCGACATGGCTGTCATGTACCTGGAATGTTGGAAACGGCCGTCACCACGCCCTTTTGAGCGGGAAAATGGCATTTTCATTCAAGGTCTTTGAGCATCGTGTTGGTCCAAGGTTTAAGTGGCTAGAGGGAAGGGTGTGCATGATCCTTGCAAGGCTCGTAGTTGACTGGAGCCAGGTGTGTCAGGTTGCCAGGATGACTGAAATTGAATAAAACCAGTAACCCGCACCAGCAAAACAATGGGATTCAACGAGAGTTTTCAGAGTTTTCCATCTCGTGAAGACGTAGGGAGGTGTGGCGTTCAGACCGTCTCGATGCGCTAGGTTCCGTGTTTGGCGGGTTGAGGCTCGTCGAATCTTCTTCATGGTCATAGTTTCGTCGTGTTCGGTCAACGCAGCTCACAGGGCGGGCGTTAGGAAAGCTGACTGCAGACTGTGCAGTGCAGAGTTAGGCTGGTTTCCCAGCTAAGATGCCGCGCCATCAGCTGCTCATAGCTCCCACGCAGCTCCTCTTGGAGAGCTCCATCAACCGGTCAGCTCGCCTATGATTGAGGGTGTGAATAGTGTCGCAGCAGTACTTTTGGCTGGTCTGGGCTTCCAGATCGGCCAACAGCGTGCAACCCCGGCCCAAATTAGCTGCATGTCTCCCTGAACCTTGCGGGGGTGAGGCCCAGCAATAAGGAGGGGCACCGAGAGGTTCCCGACATTTCAACGACGTGTCGTGAGAAACCTCAGCCCACCCAGATGACCAATCCTTCCGACATGACGGGTCCTTGTGCGTGTGGGTGAGAGGATATCGACGTCATGCTTCTCTGCGCCGGGCATCAGAGCACACTGCTGGAGAAGAAGGAAAAAAAGGTGTCCAAGTTCCAGTACCCGTGGCACTTGTGGCACAGCCTCTGGGCAATGGACACAGATTCCAAAGCCGGGGCGGGGTACATCCAGGCACCGTCCCAATTGAGTTACCACAGGTCGTGTCGATCGGTAAAAAGACCCGTTACACGGGACAGTCATGACGAGACTGTAGGGCGGCAGTCAGGGCGTCGAGCGGCAGCAGCAGCAGCAGCAGCAGGTCCAGCAAAGCGCGATTTATGCGTGACAATGTCGGGTGCGGGGAAGTTCTCGCACCAGGTGGTGGTTGTTGCCTTGCAGCTTCTTTTTTCGTCGTCTTGAACCCTGCCATACTTTTGTGGTCGAAACATGCCACGGAGGATTTTTTGCATTGCCGTATTTTCCGACGATTTGCTGGCCTGGATGGACCTTTGCGGGTGCGCGTGGTCTGAGAAAGTCGGCTTTGCAACGATTGAGCATCTCCGAGCGGTCCTTTGTCAGCTTTCGGCAGGTGGTTTGCTGCTGTGCCGCTAGTGGCCGTATGATGAGAGGATGAAGGAAGAAGCAAGGTGGCCGCGCCCTGGCTGCAGACCGTGAAGCCGGACGGAAGACCCGGTTGGTGGCTGTCATTCTGACGGGAGAGTGACTGCGTGGGGCCGGTGTTTTCGGTGAAGCTCGGTCAGGCCTTAAGGTGACGCGGTTGGCAGGCATCGACGTCGATGCTCGCGTGACAGCCAAATTTTGGCGCAGGGCAATCTCCCATCTCCAGTTCGGGCGACCTGATCAATCACTTGTTCCTTGCATAAGGCCACAGACGGGATGGTTTCCGTCGCGTTGGGAGCGGCCATCCATCCCAAGCGTGGAGGCGAGCTTGATGTCCCCTCCCGCGCCTGATAAGCTTATCAGTTGTCTCTGGAGATCATCCGGCCGGTTGAAATGCTGCAGGGTCTCCGTAGCCTGTGGTCTGTAATCGGAGCCGGGCGGAGATAGATAAGACATCTCCTGCCATATCTGGAGCTTTTGAGGCTGGAAAATCATTCTCACGACATTTCTCCTCGGCGTCTCGTTCTCGTTCTCGCGGCCAGCGGGGATGACGAACTTTCGGTCGGTCCGTCCAGCTAGAACCAAGCTAGGATTGCCGGAGTGACTCATTGGCGGTTTGAAGCACATAGAGTTCCGATATTGTTGATAATCAAAGGTGGAGATGGTGGAGGTCGACGTCGTCGATTTGCATCCGAGCCGGAGAAGGATCAGCATGGCAGTGATGAAGTTGACAAACAACATGTGTCTGGCAAAGGTGACAACAGAGTGCAAGAACGGAAGGACACATTGAGCGGGGCGCAATGGTCAGAAGGAAGGAAGGAAGGAAGGAAGAAGGGGCAATAACCGACGTTCGCACTTCCCTCAGGCTTCCGCTCTGCAGGATGAGACCCTGGCTCTACGTCTTCCCCTCGGATTTACATTGGCGTAACATAAAACCGACCATATCGGCCTCCCAAGAGAAGAGGAAATCCCATCTTTCAACGGTGAAAGCACAGCCCTTCACCACCATGAGAGCAGCGTAGGCTCGACGAATCCCAAATGTGCCGCAAGCCCTTCGGCAGAAATCAACAGCAGTTGTGCTGTGGGAACATCTCGGACGTTGGCCTGCGTCTATCTGTCTTATTTTTTGAACCATGCCCTAATGTGTGCAGACAAGACCAAGCTCCAGTCTATGAATGCTTGGGCCTCCACTCACTGAGCCATTTCTACATAATCTTCAACTGCTTCTTCGTTACAACCGCCAATGCCTCGACCACGTCCTCATTCACATGGATAAGGTCTAGGTCCGGAATGTGGCCTCCGCGAGCAACCATCATTCGAGGCACCTCCTCCGTACTGTTTCAAGGGCCGCCGGGCCGGTACGCTGAGCTCGTCGTTGCCGAGTTCCGGATATCGAATTCACCATCGACGAACATGACCTTCTCGAACGGCGCATCCCAACCTCCCTTAGTCCATTTGTTGAAATCGTCTGCAGTGGCGCCTCGGGATATGGCTGGTCTGAAGCCGTTGACCTCCGGGGAAGCAGTCGTCGCAATGGCGCTTATAACGCTCCGACGTAAGATGCGAAGAGACGATGTTGTTGCCGTCAGACTGGGCGGGCCGATGTGCCACCAACCAAACTCGTTGCATAGCTGCCACGTCCAACTACGAGCGGTCCTGAGATTTGTTGGGCTGGATGGAAATTCAGTTTTCTTGTCGTGCTCCCAGTCGCATGGGGTATTGGTGCAGAAGTCTTTTCAGCAGCGCTGTGTCAAATTCGCGAACATATTCCACGCAACATCTAGGACAACATCAGCCTCATTTAGACCCTTGTTGAGCGTCCCGTTCGTTATTGATCCTCTTCTCCATATGATTGCAGAATTCCCAGACGTAAGAGAAGCTGCCTGACAGTATCTTTGTCAGCGTGGATGCGAAATCGACATCGTTGAGCAATGCCACGTCAAACTCCTTCTTCATCGCAGCGATCTCCTGCCTGTCACCCTTTGATAGAATGGAGTCAACTTTTTTGATGACTAGTTTCACACCTGCAGAGCAGTTCCGTGGCATGGTCTGCTCGATGGGAGTCCAAAACTGCCAAAAGTCTTCGATGATGTGGATGACGACAGAGGAAGCATGGTGGGCAGTAAACACCCCCGGCGTGATCACAGATTGCCATGCCGCGAGGGCGCCCGCGTAGCTCCCGCCGATCAACACCCAGGGAGACTTGTCAGCGTTGGCACCCTCGCAGTTGTCGAAACCGAACTTCACCGTCTGAGCAAAGCGCTTGTTGTCTTGAAGCGATTGAGGAACGGTGTGGTACTGCAGGGTCTCTGCAGTCATCGTCTTGAAGGGCTGGGACTTTCCATAATACCGATCTGCACGGCTGGTTGTCAGGACAGACGCTTCACTAAGCATAAACCACCACCTAGTGGAAGACATCTACGTTCAAAAAGGACGACCGCTCCTTATAACTTTTCAGCGTACAAATACGCGAGACTTTGATTGCTCAAGTGCCATGCATATTCCTCGGCATCTGCCTCACCGACGTTCACCATGAAGATGGGATACCCCGGGCCCCCCAAAAGTTTGTATTGTGCCAGCACCGCTGTTCAAAACAACCCTTCGTGGGGTCGTTATGGTCGATTAGCTGTGTGAAGGTGGCGAGAGTGGCATCCTCCTGCGAACTATTGTAGGCCCTGAGACTTTGCTGGTTGTACCTGAGATCAAGCTCTTGGAGCGAAAAAGTGACAGACGCAGCATTGCTTGCCACTGCTGCGATGGTAAACAGTGATACCCTCATCAAATTAAGTTACTGAAGACATATTAACCGTCTTGAGGCCCAAAAGAAAGCTGGCGATAACGGTCGTAACGAAGCGTGACCTTTGCCACGAGAATCTCGGTCAAAATACAAGAGGCACAGCACATCTATCAACACACTAACGACCCGTTGGCTTGCGTGAAAGCCCCAACTCAAAGTAAGCCTCAATCATGCAGCTCAGCAGACAGAAACCCGGTTGGCCCAGCCAGCCAAGTCACCACCAAAGGTTCAGATAGACAAGACGAACTGGCCCGGCATGACATCCATAACGTACTCAGTTTACCCCATCATACCTCTCGACTTCACACGCAGGTCTTGCAGGCCCAAAGCTTAGGACGTCGCAGAATTAGAGAAGCGGTAAAGAGGGTCAGTTGAGCTCTACCGTGGCGCAAATATACACAAGGTGGAACCTTCGTCTAGTCAGAAGTCAGTCAACCGCTTCAACGCAGCAAGACAAGTCTAAGTCTGCATAACCCAGGTTCATAGTGACCTAGACCACCTGGAGGGGAAGGCTGCCACTGCCACCGTTCAACTGGCCCTGCCAGGCACAACTCGGTCTTCACCCCCTGAGTTTAGGAGTCCGTAATATCAACATCAGTGAAACCTAGTGATGAACTTCTGCTCCTTGGAGGCTGGAAGGGGGCACGTCTTCGTCTCTGGACAGCGGCAGCGACCGCACCACGAGGATCCAATCGGCCCAGACAGGATCCATGGATACTTCAACTACTCGGAATTTACTCCCAGATCTCGATAGTAAACCGCACTGCTCTGGACAACACCAAACCAAAACATGTACTCTATATATGAATTGAAAAGTTCTCGGCCCAATCAAACTCTGAACAACCCATCTTGAGCAAAACGTCAGAGTGGCTGAAAGACTGATCTCAAAGGGCTCGCCCAAGTTAGTTCTTTTGCCAGGGTGCCCTCCATACTGTTTATACGAGCATCTAGATCGGGTAAACGCTGATTCCACTCGCAGCCGTTCTCTCCTCTCAGCCCCGGGCATTCACTTCTGGCGCCTCAAGTTACACAAGTTTGCCCGCTGACGCCTTTACGTACCCTTTTTCAAAACACCACAAGGCGTTCTTGTCATTTCTACTCGTTTCTTGTTCATAAACTCTATCTCTCGCATTGTTTTCTTTTCTCACTCCAGCTGACATGTATTCACCTCCCTTGCTCCTAAGCAGCTTGGTAGCCCACACCTCGCTGCCCTAGATCCGACGTCCGGCCGATGCGCTCCCTCGAGTCCGATGTAACTTAGAATGCCATAGAATCACGCAATAGGTGTGATATTCAGTTGATCGTTTAGTATTTGAAGAGTAGTTGCCCTTTCTGGACAAATCGGGATATAAAAATCAGCATCGCAGACTTGGCCCAATGGATAGCCGCCCCTAGTAAGGTCTCGGAAGTCTCCCCGAGACATTGACACACACTCACACACCCTACATTCCACATTGTCCGGGGTGGCTGACGGCCGACGAGCGAGCGTGGAAAAAATCTCTCCCGGTCTCCCCGAGAGACGGACGGATGCTCCCTTACCTCCCCATGATCCAGACGCGTACCAGGTAACTGGAAAACGCATTCCCACGCCCATTTTTTCGAATGAGACTGCGCATTCCATTACAGTTTTCGCTCATGGCAGACTGGGGCAACACGCACTCGCGCGCACGCGGGCCTCACGCGGGCCTTGCCGTTGCAGCACATGGGGACTGCGTGATGGCCAATTCCTCGTCTAGCCTTGTGTAACCAGCACCTGACGAACCGCATGGGGGTGATGACAGCATTGGGACTTCAAGTCATCGCGCATAGAAAAGATGGATAGTACGTCTGGACATTGTAAGGTCAATTTTTTTCAAGGACCCCAAAGGAAGGGAGATTTCCGAGATCGGTCGTCAAACGGTCAATGGCCAAGAGACCTGGCCGGATCTCCCAAGAGGGAAAGAACCCTCCTTCGGCGGTCTCGTACGGAATTAGACGCCAGGCCAATGGCTTCCCAGAGAAAACCTTCCCGGGTGTAAATAACAAACAGGGAGTCGGTCGTAGCTTCGTACCCGATAAGAAAAAAGGAAATAAAAAGCAATCATGGTAACATGAGTAACCGCCCAAACGTCATAGCCGATGATCCTTTGCTGACCCCTTTCACCCCTTGAGAACGAACTGCTTCTTCAATCACCAAACGCCCTCAGGTATAGCTCTCACTGAACTGAGGCAGGGGATTGCCTCCAGCCACCTGTGAGAAAAACGCCGGCCCCCAATCCCCGATATTTTGGTCGGCAGCCATCTGCCCAGTAAACTCTTCGAGATCCTCTAGGGCGATTCCAAAACGCTGACCCTGGTGCTGGTTGACATATGACTCGATATTGGCAGCATCCGCGCCGCTGGCGCCTGCGTTCATGGCGGCCTCATTTCTCATGGGCCCGGGTGCTGTTGCGAATGTCTGCGTTGGCGAATGCTGCGGCATGTTGCCACCTGGGTAGCCCTCCTGCCCGACGGGATATTGAGCACTGTTAATGGCCGTAAACGAGGAGGCTGCCTGTCGCGAGTCCCGCCTGCTTTCCAAGCCGCCGCTGGCACTCAGGTGGGAGTACTCGGGTCCCATTGAAGAGCTGCGTTCCAGAGTGCTTGCGCGGGAGCCATCCGAGGCGTCGTACCCGAGAGATCGATCTTCGTCCATAATGATACCATTGCTTGTAATCCTATCGGCCTTGACCCTCCACTCCTCAAGCCCACCGCCTCCCGAGCCTAACCGAATGCTCAGTGTTCCATCGCCGCTCCTTCTACCGTTTCGCTGGGTATAATCCACAAAGACCTTCGTGAAGTATTGATCCATGTCCTTGAAGTACGTCACGTAATTTGAAGCCATGCTGAAATATGGAGCGACCCTCTGCAGTGCGGTGTAGGCGATCCCAGTGTTTCCTGTTTTCGTGAGGTCGGGTATCGCTCCTGAAGCTCGTTCCTGGATCTCTTCGTCGCTGACCATGTGCTTTTCGGTGTCCAGCTGAGGATAGTGGCGCGCGTAAATTCCCACAAACGCCGCCTGCCAAATGGCGAAAATGACAAGAGACGATTGAGGGAGCTTGTCGCGGCATGTCCTGATCAAGTCAATGATCTCCCGCGCAGCTTTGAAAACCTGCTCCGCACTTCGATACCAAAAGTCGTCTGGAACGATGGCGGGATCAAAGACTGGCTCGTCCAAAGGCCCGATTGGCTTCTCGCATTTGATAGCGATGAAGGGGATGTACTCTCGGTGTAGCATGATCCGGCAGAGGGCTCCAAGCATGTGTAAGGACACATACATGCTGTTATCATGTTTCCAAAAATTTGAGCTAGACCAGGTGAACTCTTCTGGTAGATGAGCATAAAAGGCCTCGACCTTGGTATTGAGCTGATAGAAAGTCGAGTCCTTATTCCAAGGGGGATACGCTTCCGTATGGCGGCCACCAGCAAAGCTGTACTTTGTAATATCTCCCCAAAAGTCGGCGAGTTGCACAAAGCGGCTGAGAACGCTGTCGTCGATAGGGCGCTCCATCTCTTGTCCTACCTGTCGGAGGAAGCCGGTGTAGACGGCCCGGCCCAGATCGAACGCGTGTTCGGTACACGGCAGTTGAATCTGCAAGTCGTCGGATCGAACCATGGAAACTCGCTCGGATCCACATGACAGTAACCGGTCGAGGATGAGACAACTGAACATGGTGCGTCGTCGTATCTCCTGGTCTTTCCACGACTCGGACGGCAACTGCGCCGACTTATGTGACCGAGACAAACCCAAAGCCCTCCTTCCACGAAGAGGCTTGTCGCCAAATCCTAGCTTTAAGCCCTGAGCCATGCGAATAGCCACGCCGACATACATCCACGCGGCCAAGCCGCCACTGGGTTGGCTCCATTTGTATAAACCCAGCATCAAGAAGGCCTGAACCCGGACAACTGACGCCGACGTTAGGGCTGATTCAAGTGGTCCCAGAGCCGCCGTGAGAGCATTTGCGAAGTATTCCGACGCTGCTGAAGGATCTGCGCGAGGAAGAGCACCTCGAGATTTTGGGCCTGCAACTTTGTCGTATGTCTGGTGTGCGACGTACTTGACCAACTCGGGTTGGAATCTAGCCGTAAGGGCCAAGATACCTAGGAGAACTAGGTTGACATCCGCAGACGGTTTCTTGATCTCCTTGTCGTGTATGATGCTCTTCAGCGTAGGAAGATGTAGAAACGGGAGCTCGGTTGCAAAGTGCAGCTTGTAGATGTCGAAAAGTTCATGCCAAATCTTGCCCGACAGATATGGCATCGACAACACTTCCTCCGCCTTTGCAGTTCCATCGAGTTGGAAGGTGTCGTCCAGCTTCTTGGCTCGCTTTCGATCAGGGCCTGCCTCCCTCTCCTGCTTCGGTACAGTTGGCGGTTCTGCTCGCTTGGCCGGTAAGGGCGTGGGCTCCGGGAATTCGCATTTGTGACCAGCCTTGATGCAAGTGTCGCAAGGGGCGCCAGAGTTGTCATTGTCGCATTTGATCTTCGACTTCCTACACCTCTG